GAAGAGCCAAGAACCTATCCTATTCATCAATGATCTGCTCTCTGTGCCGAGAGCAGAGCTGCCTAACCAGATAAAGCCTGAAGGTAAGGGCAGGGGGCCAGGAAGCAGATGACGTGCCAGACTGGAGCCCTCTTTAGCTGGTGGACACACACCGTGGTGGGCGTGCACCCTGACACTCTCACACACAATGTCTCTGGCACACCTACACATACATGAAGCCCCACAGTCTTGAAGGCCCTCCTGCATACATGTCTAATGCACACAAACCCATGACTATGGCTAGATCACTCCCGCAGCTTGTCCCCTACACACCCTGCTTCCAACACCCACAGACGCACGTGCCTACATAGACACACCCTCCCCCAACATCTGCCGGTGGAGCCTGCTCCCACCTGCCCGCCACCTCTGCACACTCATCCCATGCCTTGACAATCACATGCAACTCCACATACCTCTGGCACACACATGTGCCCATACACAGGTTCTTCATGCACACGACTTGCCAGCGCCCATGCTCAGGGCTTCCTCCATGTTCTCTGAGGGGTAGAGCGGTGCCAGCATGGGCTGGCTTTATGGGGTCTCTGAGGACAGACGGATTACTGTCTGGAGCCGGTTGCTTTGGTCTGAAGTATTGGCTGTGGAATCAGGGGACCTGGATTTGAGTCAGAGTTCTAAACTCACTAACCATGCAGGAGCCTGGCAGAGTCCCTTTCCCGGTCCAGACCTCAGTTTCCTCATCTGTGAGATGGCAACAGTCCCAATCCCAGTGGCTGTTTTCAGGATCTAATCAAGTGCTGTCATGGAAGTGAGAATGTGAACACAGAGAGGGTCAGGGTGTATTATTATCGCTATTTGCTGCCATTGTTGTTGGTTAGTCAGGGTCCTTTGGAGGTGCTTGTGACCAGGAAAATGCAATTTGATCTTGATGAGGGTTCAACACCCTCCACCCTAAATCACTGGGTCCAGCGCCTCCCCCAGGCTGCCCTGCAGCAAGTCTGTCCCCGGCCACATCCTCAGCCAGCCCCCATAGTGGCCTCCCAACTACCCCCTCCATTGGCACCCAGGCCCTTGGGGGTAGGTATCCACGCAAGACTTTCCCCCACTTGAGTCCCAGTGTCACAGCAGATGGGCGATAACTTTGTCCTTGGAGGCCAGGACTGTCTGAGGAGCCGTGGCTCACGGCAGCTCTGCGGGATGCCCAGATGACCATGCCAAGGTGGGAGACAGTGGTGTGAAAGCGCATGGAGGTGTGACTGTGGCACATGGGGGTCTGCAGGGGTGTGGGTCTGTATGGTAGGAATGTAGCCTGTGGGGCTGTGAGGATGTTGGGTGTGTGGGCATGGCTGTGTATTCTGGGGGCACGGGAGAGTGTGAGTGAGTGTGCTGTGTGTGTACACATCCATTCTGGTGTCTGAGAGGGCCATGCAATATGTATGTGTGTGTTTGTGTGTGTGCGCACATGCACGTGCGGATGGGTAAGCCTGACCTGGTGCGTAGGTGATGGTACGTGTGCTAATGCTTCTGGAGTGCCAGAAAATGTGAGTGTGGAGATGTGTGAGCGCTATGGAAGTGTGTGTGTGTGTGTGTGTGTGTGTGTTGTGGTGTGTGTCTGTGTGTCTGGGTATGGGTATGTCTGTCTAGGAGGCTGGCTGCAGTGGGGGTGTTGGTGGGAGTGTGTGTGTGTGGTGTGGTGTGGTGTGGTGTGTGTCTGTCTGGCTGTCTGGCTGTGGGTGTGTCTGTCTGGGAGGATGGCTGCAGTTTGGGTGTGGGTGGAGTATATGTGTGTGTTGTGTTGTGGTGTGTCTGTCTGTCTGTCCGGGAGGGTGGCTGCAGGGCCAGCGGGTGTGGGTTTCTTTGTGCTTGTGTGGTGTGTGAGGTGAGTGTGCGGGGCGGTGTGATAGGGGAGGTGGCGGGTGGGGGGAGCAGCAGGCAGGCAGGCGGCCAGGGCGCGTCCCCGCTTCCCCGCACACAGTGGCTGGGCTGACAGCCGGGCGGAGAAGAAAACTAGACGTCAGGGAAATCAGTCAGAGACAAATCGATTCCCTTTAGAGGTGAGAAAAAGCAGATGCTGCGGCTGCTGGTGGCCTGTTAGGCTCTGAGCCACATCCCTCCCCAGCCCGAGCCCCTCCCCCACAGCTCTTGGCTGCCAACATCCCCCCACCCCTCCGCCTTTGTTAGGGGCCCTGCTGTGGGCCTGCTGTCTGTGCTGCCTGCATCCCTTCCCCGGCAGCCAGGAACTGGTGCTGGGTGTGTGTGTGTGTGTGTGTGTGTGTGTGTGAGTGTGTGACTGAGTGCATATGTGTGTGAATGTGTATGTGTGTGTGTGCATGAATGTGCATGAGTGTGTGAGAGAGTGTGAGTGTGTGCATGCGTGCGTGTGAGTGTGTGTGTGTGTGTGTGTGTGTGTGTGTGTGTGTAGACCGAGTTGTGGGTCTTACCTGATGGCAGAGCCCTCTTAGGGACTTCAGAGATGTTGGGTCAGTGACTTAGCTAAGGACATCCAGGGAGCTGGAGGCGGCACTGGACCCAAACTCAAGCCTCCTGGGTGCCAACCAACAGGGATTTTGCCTGCCTCCTGCCTCCCAACCCTACCCCAGGGACTCTTTGAAGGAAGTCCCCTTTTCTTCCCTCCATCCTGTGTTTGGGGTTAGCCCAAGAGTTGCTGTCCCCAGGTAACACCAGGGCCTCATCCTTATTCCCTGTGTGCCTGTCGGCCCCGGGGGTCTGCGGCTGTGAGCAGGGCTGCAGTGGGGCCCTGACCCCCTGCCTGGGTCTTACTGGTGCCTGGCTGCCGGGTGGTCAGTTCCCCACTCCAGGCCCTCCTCTCTGCCATCCCTTTTTCCACTGGGCCTTAACACCCAGAACAAATCAGGAAACAAGGCTGAAGTCTCTTTGAAACAGAGCCTCCTGAAGTCAGGGCTTTGTTTTTGCCACCCCAGGCTCTCATGGTCAGCCCCTGCAGGTACCCACTCAGCAGACCTGCTGAGCTGCTGTTCTGGGCCAGGCCCTGGATTTGGAAGTAAGCAAGAGGACCCAGTCCTGCAGTCAGGTAGCCTCATGTCAGACTGGAAAGACACGGCTTGACTCCAGCTGGGATGAGAAGTATGGGGAGGGGAGAAAGAAGGGAAGGGTCCTAACCATGGGCAGCCCCCTCCCTGGCCTAGGCTCCGCTCTCCTTTCATGGGGCCTGTAGGCTCTCGGCTTCAGCTCAGCTGGTTCCTTGGCCACAGTACACCCATTCCCTGCAAACCGCCCACCCCCTCCCCAACGAGAGTTCCCCTAGACACCCTGCTTTCCTTCACACTCAACCCCTGGCTAGGATAGGTGGCTCTGCCAGGTCCACACTCCTCTTCATTCCTTTTCAGGACAGTCAGCTATGTCCAGCATGGATGCCCCACTATTTGAGTGTGAAGTTGCTCTGTTGAACAGAGGGTGGGAGACGTGGCGGTTCCAGGGGCTTGATTTCTGGGATGTCTGCACCAGTAGACTCTGCTGCCAGACCCTGTCCTCTGCCCATGAAGACCCTGCCCTCTGTGCACCCCTCTCTCAGGCATGTCCTGACCAGTGTCCATCTGCTTAAGTCCTCCACGCTCATCCCTGGCCACAGTCTGGAATCCAGAGCCTGTACTGAGAAGCCTGTGTTCCCTGGCTCTCCCAGACCTGGCTTTGTGTCCTGAGCCAGGCACTAGCCCTCTCTGGGCCTTGCGTTCTCCCTAGCTAAGGGGATGAGGAATCAGGCTGTTTTTTTTTTTTGTTTTTACCCAGAGTGTCCCAGAGTGGGATCTGCTCAAAGTAACAGCTGTGTTTTTGTTACTGGTGGTCGGGGGGATGGCTTAGGGAACCCTTCCCAAACTCCACCCCTGGCCTAGATTTCCAGTGGCCAGCCAGATGGGAGAGGCCACGAGTTGATCTACAAACATTGGTAGAACCAGTCTGGGGCCAAGCCCCATTGTGAGCAGACAACACCTGGCCTAGAGCCTGGCCCATGAGATGTGTCCAAAAATTAACTGTGTAGAGAAGCAAGGGATGGAGTCATGAGTGTAGACATGGCTGGTGTGTCCCTGGCCCCCAGGAGCTTTCTGTCTCACTGGGACACGTTGGGTTTCTGACTCCAGCTCTGCTGCTGACCACTCCTGGCCTTCCTGTTTGTCCCTCAGTAACATGGGGAGCTCTGTGACCTTGAAGCTCATTTCCTGCTGGGATATTAATACCACCACTAATAATAACAGTAGCCATTGAGGCAGGAGCAAGCATACTAATATTAGCTGCACCTGTTGAGGGCCCAGCACCTGCCAGGCCCCCACATGTGTTCTGATGTCAGTCCTCACGAGCCCTCCCCTGCGCCAGGAGCTGGACTCACCATCACCATGTTGACAGCGAGGGGATGGATGCTTTGCACTTGCCCGGGGTTTCAGGTCTAGGCTAGAACTCAAGGCTATTTTGGTTGGGCTCTGAGGATGGCAAAGAACAGAGGTACTCAGCTGACCTCAAGTAAGGGAGGGCTGAATGAAAAGAGGAAACTCATGGGAACCTGGGGTGAGCCAGTTCTCTGGGCTGCAGGCAGGGCTGGACCATGGTGTGGAGTAGCTGGGGTCAGGGGTATCGTGCAACAGTGAATCCCCTGGGGCTGTGGTGCTGGCATCACAGCCTCTTAGATATTACTGAGGACACTAAAGAATCCTTGTTTATGGGGTTACATCTATCGATATTTACCGTGTTCTAAATGAAAATTGAGGAAATAAAAAATATTTATTCTTGAAGAACAATAAGAATAAATCATAACCTATTAACCATTAGCATATTTTTCAGGACAAATAACTATTTTTTAAAATGAAAACACTGAAGGGTGGTACCACTGCTTTTGTGGGTCTCTTGAACTGTCCACTTAGGAGAAGATGGTTGGGTTCTCATGTCATCTGTTGAAGCCACTGGAAAATTCTGCAGTATGTTTGCAAAAGGAAGAAAGTAAAAAAGGCAAATAACACCTTCTCACCTTGCAGAGCCTCCAGAAGCATTGGTGTCTTAGGTCATTCATGATATGACCCCTGCACGGACTCCTCAGCCTGACATATGCTGCAGGAACTCAGCAATCAGTGTAAGGCTGGACATCAGATCTGAGAGCTCAGTCACCCTGGGAGCTGGCAGCTGGAGCGGTGGGAACTGGGAGAGTGAATGGGGCCGAGAGCAGCTTCCTGGAGGAAGCAGGAGGTGAATGGAGCCACGGCAGACAGGCGTCTTTGCAGAGGCAGAGGGGAGAGGAGTTTTCAGGGAGAGGAGTCTTCCGGGCCCTGGGGAATGACTGGGCACATCTTCAAAGTGAGATAGAGAGGCATGGGGCCAAGGCTGGCTGAGACCTCAAGGGCCCTGAGCTCCGGGAAGATGCTCGCTCCCACCCAGTGTAACCCGGGATAAAGTTTGCTTTCCACAGTGATGCTAAGCTTCCTTGTATGTTGACATTAAATTAGCCCCTTTCTAGTTTCTGGGTTGCAAACTTGGTTAAGTGCACAGAAACACAACGTGTCTCAATTTTGGGTGCCCTGTTGGGTTTGTGCTGGCGCTGTGGGCTTGCTCTGCATCGTGGATCATGTGGACACTCATAAGTAGATGATGAGCAGGGTGGATGGGGGATGGGGGACTTAGAAGGATCTGCCAGTGCTCCCAGAGCACCCAGTAATCCCGGGCACCTACTGCTAAAGAGGGTCTGAGTGGCCTGGCCTGGAATTTGTGGAAGCAGGGCAGAGGTAGGGAGCCCTGGCTCAGCCTGGAATTCCCAAATCTGGGAACAGTCACCTTCATAGCTACTGATCTTTCCACTTCATTGTGAGGCAGTGGACCCTGCTGGGCAGAGGGAAGGGCAGCCTGGAAGGAAAGATTCCCACCCAGAAGAGAGCGGGAGGAAGTGGGGCTTGGTTAAGGCAGAGGTCTTCAGGCTGTGTGATGGTCTGGGGAACCCCAGCTCTGAACCCCAGCTCTGCCACTTCCTCCGGGCCACAGTTTCTTCATCTGTGAAGCAGGGATGAGGTCGTCCGGCTCCCGTGGTTGGGTGGAGGTGACCTGAGAAGGTGACAGTGAAATGAGATCAATGGGATGAAGCAGCTAGTACAAAGAACTGGGCCAGTTCCATGAGGCGTGAGCTTCCTTTCACTTCTGTTTGTGCTGTAGATCAGATCCTGGTTCATAGGAATTGCTTGGTACATATCTGTTGAATGAAAGAATTTAATAAATGAACACATCAGTGGCTCAGTTAATGCCAGTTCTTTCCTAGGTGAGGCTAGCCAACCTCCTCTGGCAGGGAAACTAAGACCCAGAGAGGGGAAGGGACTTGTCTACTGTGGTGCAGCAAGTTAGCTCCTGAACAGAGTCCTGGATGAAGGCTTTGCTGCCATCAGCCCTGGCCAGGAAGTGTGTCTGGGGTAAGGGGTGGGCCCTTCTCTGTGGCGGATGCTTGGTGAATGTGTGTGCTTGTGCCTGTGCGTATGTCTGGGAAGCCAGGAGACTCAATTCCGTTCTTTCCAGAGTTTTTCCCTCCTGCCGGAAGGCCTGTCATGGGCGGCTATTCTGTGTGGCCCCTGCACACCTTACCTATTTCATGAATTTTTGTGCAGTCTGAACTACCTGCAGGGAGGTATTCTCATTTGGGGTGTAAGCCCTATCTGAAACGAAACTGTCACAGCTTTGAAGAGAGCCCAGGGGAGCCTCTCCAAGCAAGTGGTGGAGATGGGAGCAGAAGATTTGAAGAGGTGGGGGGGTGAGAGTGGTGTCACATTTTCCTTCGCATCTAAGGGCTGAGAGGGAACTTTCCTCCTCCCTCCTGCAGGAGGGCCCCAGGCCAGGGACCCCACCCTGGACACGGGCTTATTAATCAAAGGGTGTTGAAGTCAGTGGCTCTGCTCTGTTCCAGCATTTCTCGAAGCGTGGCCTGAGGAGTAACAGCCACAGCGTCAGCTGGGAACTGGTTAGAAATGCAGACTCCAGACCCCATCCAGACCTACAGCCTCCAAATCAAATCTCTAGAAGTGGCACCCAGGAATCTGCATTTTACAAATCCTCCTCAGATGCTTATGAACATTTAAAAATGACTGCTTTACACTGTTTCTCAACAAAAATATGATATCCGGCAAGTATAGGATTAAAAGAGGATGGGTGTTTCCTGGTTAGACTTAGGAACCTATTGAAACTGTTTGGTTGTCTGTCTGTAGGTCCATCCATCCATCTGTCCTTTTTTATTTTGGTAGACATTTAATTCAGTTGCATCTAGAAGTTGAAATGGGAAAGCTCATCCCCACCCTGCCCCCTCCAGCTTATCATGAGGAGATGAGGAGGTGGGCTTCCACTGTCTTGAGGCTCCAGGTGGTCAAGTGCTTCTGCAGGGCAGTCATTCGTTTGAATCTGAGCCTAATGAAGCTACCCTAAGACAAACTGTACAAGAGGGAAAGGGGAGGAAATGACTTACTTGGTATCTATTGTGTGCTGGGCCTTTTCCCCTTCCAATCTCCCTTCCTACTGGGAAGTATTATTCTCATTTTACATAGAAGGAAACTGAGGCTCAAAGAGGTGAGGGGACATGACTAAAGCTGTAGGACCTGAGATGTGATAGAGTCAGAATGTGAACCCAGTTCCTCTTGCCCCCAGAAGCTGTGCCCTTTCTTCTGTTCCACATTGCCAGAATCTTGGGGGACCTGAGGATCAACAGCTAGAAGCTGCAGGGTAGTCTGATTTGAGACGTGCTTCTAACCATCTGTACTGTCTGGAGGTTAGCAGGCTGTCTGTGAGGCAGTGAGCTCCCTGTCCCTGGAAGTGTACAAGCAGAGACCAGGAAATCCCGGGGCCATGGGTGGAGTCATATGTGTGCACGGGGCAGGACTGAGAACAAGGATCTTTGAGGGCCTTCTGCCCTTCTTGGTGGGCCTGCTCAGGCCTGCTCTGGGGTCAGTGTCCCCGTGGTTGGAGGCTCTGCCGCCAGCTGCTCATTATCTGTGGCTCCTCTAAGAGGATCCTGCCAGCTCCCAAACAGGAAATGTGTCAAGAAAGCTGTAATTAGAGCTGGGAGCCACAGGCCCGAGAGGTGCCTGCTGCAGCTTCAAGTGCAGACATGCTGCCCTGGTGAAGTCCCTGGGCAAGAACCCAGTGAGTCAGGCCCTCAGATCCTCTTGCATGTGGCACCCGTGCCCCACCCCATTCTCCCTGGAAGAAAACCAGCATTCCCTGGGAGCCTACTGGGTGTCTGGGTTTCACGTATGTCCTCTCTTCTGTTCCTCCCCAGAAACCTGGAAGAGAGGAAGATTTTATCGTAATGCAGTGAGGAGCCCGAGGGCCTGAGAGGTCATATGACTCAATCAAGGTCATCCTGCCAGGGCAGAGATGTGATGAAGCCCTGTCCTTGTGAGTACCTGGTCTAACTTTGTCATCATTCTAGGAGAGGCTTTGAGTCAAAGGAGGGGCTCAAGAGGCCAGCAGCACAGGTAGAGGAGGCCTAGGTGGGCCTGACTGGGTCCTGGGTCTGCCCTGACTGAATGTGACTTTCTTCAGCTTCTGTGAATCTGCCATAGAGGCATAGATTCCTCTTCTCTTCCCCTATCAGGCTGCTGGGCCATCCATAGCCATTGTGGTGGTTTAAAAGCATGGCCACAAATTCTTCAGCCCATTTTCTATGGAGAAATAACCTCTAGGGAGAAATAACCCTCTGTATTCTGGGCAGATTTGTGACTGCTCCACCCAACAGAGAGTGGCAGAAGTGATGCTAAATCATACCATATGACTTTCCTTTTGCTCAGCAGAACAATTTTTCCTGGAGCCCTGAGCCACCACGTAGGAAGTAAGAAGAATCGCTAGCCTGAGGTTGCCATCTTGTGAGGAAGCCCAAGCTACATGGATGGTCTGTGTCTGGGCTCCCTGTCCCATCTGAGCCCAGATCCTAGCCTCTCCAGCTGTTTGAGTTTTTCCAGCTGAGGCCTCAGATATCATGGAGCAGGGACAAATCACTCCTGGTATGTGCTGTCTGAACCCCTGGCCAGTAAAATCTCAGGATAAATTGTTTTGTGCCACTGTTTTTGGCTGATTTGTTATGCAGCCATAGATAACTGGCACAGCTATGCAGCTGGGATGTACCATATGGTCATCTCAGAGGTCCCATTCAGACCATCTTTCCCTCGTGGCCCCTGGGAAGCTGTCTGGGTTCATACGCTCTATGCAAAATGTTGCTCCAAGGGAAAGGTATGGGACTGTGTGTTGGGGGAGGGGGAGACTCTTTATCGCCTAGGGGTTACATCTGCTCAGCTTCCTCTGCTCACTTCTTTCTCAGAAGTAAGCTCCCCAATCCAGATCTGCCTCAGGCCCTCTCATGTGTGATTAAGAGTCCTGATCCCTGCTTCACTGCTTCTTAGCTCTGAGATCTTGGGCAAGCTACTTAACACAGTTTCTTTAGTCTATTAGATCGGGATGATCAACATGTACATCAGAGCAGTGCCGTGCACATAGCAAGCACTCTGATGGGTGTGGCCCCTTATTATCCCTGAAGTTGCCCTCTTCCTGGCCCCTTGTACCATCTCCATGTGCACAGGGCTTTACAGTTTACAAGGTGCCTTCCCGTTCCCCCGGTAACCCTGTGGGCAGGTCAGTATCATCACCATCGAACAGATGAGTTAGATCTCAGATGTGGCTCGTGTTCATGGCCTCAGATGTGAGCGATTTCTCCGATGCTTGCTGAGCTTCTTCCAGAATCTTCCTTTGTGTCTGATCTCCTTTTTTTTTTAAATCTCCTTCTTACTTATACTACTTTCTACTGCCTCTGGAATTCTGGAGTCTCAGCCTATGTGACTTTGGATGATTTCTGCTTTCTGAATCTCAATTTTCCCCTCCATGAGATGAGGAAGTTGGGCTAGCTGATGTCCAAGGGTGCTTTCAGCTCTGAGACAGTTGAGTTGGTTTTCACATCTGGGGGTGGCTTTCTCACAGGACTGCCTGCTGCTTCTCTGCAAGCTGTGTTTGGCCTGGCTGTGAACAAACCAAGAGAGCCTCACACCCTGGTTTCTGGGTGGCAGGGCCAAGCTCTGAGAAACAGGAAAGGTGCACCGCCACCCTACCCCAGGAGTTGGAAGGACCCAGAGGATGCTGAGGCATTTGCTCCCAGCTTGATACTTGTACTTCTGTCTGAGACTGATCCTAACAGTGGCCAGGTGAGGGACCCAACCCAACCAGGCTTGGCCTTGGGGCCACTCCTAAGGCCATTCCCAGTGGAATCTTTGGGCAGTTATGGGTTCTTCAGCATCCTGACTTCTTGTGGTCCAGCCACTGCAACTTCACCTTCCAGGTATTTCCCAGGCCCACCTCAGGCCTCACCTCTTCCAGGCAGTCTTCCCTGATGTGAAACATTAGGTCTTTTCTCTGTCCTCCCATAGTGACTTGGGCTTCCCATCAGGACCCTTGTTGAACTTTGATCTGTAGCTACCTATTTACTTACAGATTCTCTTCCAAGACCTTGAGTCACTGGAGGCCAGGGTCCATGTCGGTCCTGCTCTCTTCTTCTTCTCCAGTGCCCCACACAAGGATGGCACTACTTAGGGGCTCAGTAAATATCCTTGCATGAATGAATTTTAGATAAATAAGCAAGTGGCAACAAGCTTATTAGCAGTAAATAGCAGTAATTTTCTCTGCTTAAACTATCCCAGCCTCATCTGCCTGTGCCTTAAGCCTGGCCAGGAGAGGATGACTTCCATAGAACATTGTTTTGGTTCCTGTAGGATCATTCCTTCTCTTGAATTGTCTGTTTGTATGATGTCACTCCCCAGAAAACATCTCCATGAAGTTTGTTTTATGTCTATTCTGAGAATTTTATAATAAAGATTGCCAGGAAAAATTCTTGCTTTACAGTCAGATGCAGTTACGATTTTCCTAAATATCAGGCTTTATTTATATACTTATATTTTATTTCATGGATGCTGTGCAATTGATCAGGTTTCCCCTTTTGCACTTGCTACCGGGAAGCCCAGATCAAAAAATCTGGATCCTTTGAAATAACGGTAAGAACTTAGTCATTTTCATTTTTGAACTACTCAGATTCATGTCTCGTCTAATGTCTTTTCCTCTGTATTTCAGGGACTTTGCCTGTGTACTTTCCTATAAGTTTCTAATTTCTGTCTTATTGTAAGACTTTAGTTATAAAGTCTTTACTTATAAATTCCATATGGGTTTGTGTATGCTTTAAATCATTTTTCTTGGGACAAGGCAAGATATAACCAAGTGCATACACATAGTACTTCTGAGCACATTCTTCCCAGGTTGACCCAGGATTTAATTACAGGCTGAAGAATGCTGGTGCTATGTCTGCTCTTGGCCACACTGGCCTGTCTCCCTCCAGGCTCTGGCCCCAAAGGTAACCTGGTCCATGTCCTGTGGGTGTGGCCTGCCAGGCCTCGTGCTGGGTGATTTTCCCTGACAAGAACAGGGTTTCTCCCTGAGCTGCTGGCCTCACTGCCCTGCTGCTGCTTCCTGACCAGCCTTATCTCTGTGGTTCCTCACCCCCTGCTTCATGTCCCTTCTGTGATGATGCTTAATGCTGCTCCCAATAAACTGACTTGGCTGCCTTCTCACCTAAGACTCAACCTTGTCCCTTGGTTGCAGCCTGATTCCAGTTGCCATGGGCAATTACACCCACCATCAGTCAGGCCAGGGCAACTGACCTCCAGGCTGTGAGAACACACCCTGGCCAGCTTGAGTCAGCATCAGGGGTGGGGGAGTAATAGGAAAGCAGGCATAAAGTTAAGTGTTATCATTTTATCTCTGGAGATGGACATTTACCCCCAGAGGTAATGAGGGAAGGTAGTATGAACATGTTTGACAAATGGAGACAACTGTTTGACAACTGTGGTTCCAAAAGATGTGATTGACCCAAGGTCACACAGGAAATTAAAGGACCAGAGGGCTTTGCCTTCTAGCCTGGGGTTGGTTCCTCTTTACTTTCTCCCATTGCCGAAGGCCTGACTCTCCAGTCACTCCCTGGCAAGAAGAACACTCTGAGGCACACAGTCCTCTGAGAATCCCATGCCCGACCAGAGTCATCAATTGACAAGAGGGCGTAGGGCCCCTGTTTCCTCTGCAGAGCTACGTGGTTATGGAGGTTCAGCCCATGTGATATGACGATCTGCCTGCTGGACATAGAAAAGAGGAAGAAAGGGAGGTGGGAGGAGGCGTGTGGGGTGTTGAGGCCTCTGCATCAGGAGGCTTCATTCTGGTCTCTGCTAGAGTTCAGAGCCCGGCCCTCTGATCAAGTAAGACCGCCATGTGTTTTCACTAGAGTCCTGCTCCCCATGCATTTTACGAGGCTGTGGTGTTCAGAGTCGGTCATTTTGGAAGTAGAGGAGTGGAGGAACTGTCAGTCTCCCGTTTGGGCATCAAGAACAGCGTGGGCCCTCGTTCTCTAAGGGACAGCAAACATGTCCCTTGACTCTGGGGGTCTGAGTTCTGTTGTCTGTTAAGTGGGACCCTGAGCCTTTGCCCACCTTTCTGGCAGGGGTGTTGTGATATGTTTTAGAATGTTTCCCCACCTCACTTCTGAGATGCTGTGAGAAACAATTCCCCAGGGGACTCTGTGTACCTCCTTGCCGCCTACTCGCGTTGCTGGAGGAAACAAAACCCCTCCAGAAAACAAAAGACATCAGTGCATCAGAATGCACCGAGCGGATGGTGGTGTTTGAATTGGAAATCAGTGAGGTGGTTTGGTTTCTATTCCGTATCAGAGCTTGATTCAGGCAACACGAATTTGTCAAGGTTTTGTTCAGTCTACAAATATTTGTCGAGTGCCTGCTTCGTGCTCAGCCTCCCCCTGCTCCGTGGTGGAGCTGCAGAAGTGATAACCCACTCTGGGGTGGGGGATGCGGGCAGAGTGGGACCCAGTTTGGAGTCCTGGCTCTGGTTCCCACCTCCTTGGTGACCTTGGGCAAGTCACGTCTCCTCTCTGGGCTTGTCCCTTAGCCACCTTCCTCATAGCGTTGTTGCAAGGATCAAGTGAGGAAATGCAATGCTTTTATTAGCAGTGACTGAAACACCAAGTGTGGTTATTGCTTTATCAGGAGTGATGAGAAGTCATGGGCTCTGCTCCCATAGCAGCGTGGTCGGGGAAGCTGTTAGTTATGGCAACGGGAGCTTTGGGCTGCGGGGAGTGGACATATGATGCTACGGATGCACAGGGGAGTCAGGGAGATTTGTGGCGTTCATGATGATTTCCTAGCGAGCAGCTGTGAGCCCTGCCAGGGACGGCGGATGGAAAGCATGCGTGGGATTTAGAACAGAACTTCCTCCATTCCTGGGGAGACAAATCTAGTATATGCCAGCTTTCTTACTCAGATACCACCTTCAAATCTCCTGTGGGCATTTTCAGGAAATTTACAGCCATGTGCATCTTGGGACAGGGTTCAGGGGAGGGGAAGGGCAGTCGTGGGGGTGGAAGTCTTAGTTAGGTTGGCTGCTGTAACAGACAACAGACTGGTGATGTCAGCAACAAACACGTATCTCTCATGGTTCTAGAGGTTGGAAGGCCAACATCAAGGGTGGTGGCTGATTCTGTGTCTGGTGAGAGCCCCACTGGCCAGTTGGCAGATGGTGACTTCTTGCTCTGTCTTCATATGGCAGAGAGAAAGATCATTTATCTATTGTCTCTTCTTATCAGGGCACTAATTCTATCAAGAGGTCTCCATCCTCATGACCTAATTATCTTTCAAAGGCCTTACCTCCAAATGCCATCACTTTGGGGGTTAGGCCTTCAGCATATGAAGTTTTGGGGATCTTCCCAGGTGGCTCAGTGGTAAAGTGTCTGCCTGCCAAGTAGGAGATGGAGGTTTGATAAGGAAATGGCTACCCACTCCAGTATTCTTGCCTGGAGAATCCCATGGACAGAAGAGCCTTTTGGGCTACAGTCTATGGGGGTCCCAAAGAATTGGAGACTACTTAGCTACTAAACAAAAACGACAACAACAACAACATATGAAGTTTCAGTTCAGTTCAGTCGCTCAGTCGTGTCTAACTCTTTGCATCCCCATGAATCGCAGCATG